TAGACAGTTAGTGTAACACGTAGCTGTCGCCGCTTTCTGACGGAATTTTAGCGAAAGATTTGTGCTACGGAACTGAGCATGACGGACCGACTGGTAATAGATTGCTGACCGTTGGAAACACTGCTCAACATATATATGATTGTAGCTGTTATTGCTGGTGAAGACTGCAAGATCGCATCAAAAGACACCATAGACCCCTGACCAATTGTCACCACAAAAATATGCGTCCCCTTATGACCGTTATTATGTGAGACGGTCCTTTGAGAAACAAAAAACACTCGACTTGCTGACCCTACAATGACATTCGAAGCAATTCAGTGCCGGACAACGACTTGAAGTATAATGGAGTCGATAAACGTAGGGTAGTAGTCCAGCCAAATCCTATATATATTGTAGTTGTAAATCTGTGCGCGGGAAGGAGCGACGTTATTTCATATTAGACTCTGCTTGTAACGTCTGTTGGCAGTTACTGACCAAAGCGACCGATGCCGAACTATGAAGTTTTTATCCTCATTCGACTGAGGAAATTCGGTCATCGCTGCAGGTAGATCCGTAAACCGATCTGTCGATATTCTATAGTTACTCGACTACTGAAGGGACTTTACTTATAGGTTAGTTTTGAGAAATAAATATTGTCGTTAGTGCCGTCTATACAACTACCCTTGAGCGTGGTGTAAACCAAAAAGAAAGAAAGAAAGAGGAACTGTTGTTGGACTGTTGACAGGACACTTCATGAAACACGTGTGGCATCCTTAGCCATTGATCCAAGACGCGTCCTTATAGATATCTACATCATCGATAATTCAATCTATCCCTATGCAGTTTGATCCAAAACTAGTACAACTGCAATAACAATGTCGACAGCGTCTTATAGAATGGGAATTTTCGTTCTTTGAAAATCCCTAGTATTACGGCTAACTTCGAAGCTAATAAGGAATTGAAAAGAAGATGTTTTTAAATTTTTTTTTGCTCTTCGTGGATTTGCGAAGATAATACACAACCTCGTGTATTCGGGTGTAATTTAGATCGGTGCAATGACCCTGGTGAGATCCTAGCCTAGGACAATAAGCTCCTTAGACTCGAGAGCGATTTCAGTACACTTCTCGTAGTGTTGACAAGACCGAAAGAACAAAACAAATTTTTTTTATTTAGTTAGTTTTTCCAAATCAGGACAACAACAATAACAACAAAACGCTCAACCTTAGAGAAATGAAGACAAATAACCGACTGTGCCTGCATGCGCATAGATAATACGATACGCATTGGCCATCTAAGTGGACTAACGAACGAAGTACTTTAACTATTCGTTTTTCTATAAAATAACACTAACAGTACCACGATAACGACCGAAGATAGGAGTTGTTATCATTAAGATCTTAATGGTCACAGTTATTGTTCCTACCGGTTTCAACCAAAGTTGGTGCTACTCACGGATGGCGATGCAGTAGACACACTTCTCGGGGGACGTGCAATAACAAAACAGATCACCTTCCATTGTTCTGATACGCAGCCGCCTTATTTGCCGTCCTTGTATTCTTCTTGTTTGCCGTTATTCTCATGTTCAGTGTCGTTTAATGAAAAAAGTGCAAAAAGCGTTAATTCCAGGGGGTGAAAGAGAAGTGAAGCATTGGAGTTGCCCTAGAAGGCTCGGATAGCCTTTTAGGAAGAAGAAATGCCCTTTTACCATGACTCTCAACAACTGACCGCGTCGCGTTGCGTTGCACGTGTGGTAATTCTACTTCTAATTTTCATTTAACGCACTTACGCTTTATCAAAACGCTTACGCGGCTATAGTTTGGATTCAGAATAGGAGGCTGCACAAGCTGCGTTACATACATACGCTAAAAAAACGCTAAAAAAATACAGCTGTAGTTCTATTTTATAATAAATTAACTTTTCGGCTGTTTTTTCATATGGTAGCGATGTCTTCTAGATGGAACTTAAATGTAAGTAAGTAAGAGCAGGTCCACACTTGCGTTATCGATATATATATATATATATATATATATATAGTAACAGCATTAGCAGACGATTAAGTCATGATAGTCGTTTGAAATATCGTGCGGATGCTCATCATCTCGGACCAGTAAATAACGACGGCAAGTATCTGTTATGCTATAATCTAAGCAATTTTGTATTTGTCGCGTTTGCTTGCAACGTACGTATCCGACAAGAATTACGACTTACTATGACTTCCGCGCTTCTTCTATTACGATGGAAACCCTATAATGATACCCTGTGTCGCTCAGATAGGGCCCGCTGACAAACCGCATTTCGGTGGTACGCAGCAAGCAATCAGACACATATATGCATAATACACACACACACATATATATGTGTGTTGTTTTTATAGATGTGGGCGTCTGTGTGTGTGTGTGTGTGTGTGTGTACACAGACTACATGAGTACTTAGCCGTATATCATATATTCTAAACAGGTGCATCATTTTGAAACTTTATGCATAGGAGCGCTGCTCAAGATAGCGAACGGTCTTCTAGTAAAAACCGATTGGCTTTACGGTTCTGCAGCTAGTGGCTACAGAAACGAAAATGACGACAATTGCAACCGTCGGCCAGCCAGCGACAGTGGCGTCCTAGGCAGTCACTGTTTGTCCAGCGTGTTTTTCTGTTACGCCACTGTTGATCCGGCCGCCGTAGCGGCGATAACCTTGCTGTCGTCTTGGGGCAGTGTCACACAGACAGCAAAGGACTGCGGTGGGGCAGGCAAAGTGGAAACGGGCCGAAGGCAGAAAGACGCATGAGAATAAATCGAAACAGTCTAATATGCACGAAAATATAACCATGACCGTCCGCTGTTGATCGCGATAATGCTAATGGTAATGATAACGAAGATTCCGATGATTTTGCGGATGATGATGACGACGGTACAACGGCGCCTGAAGCTTTTCACACTGTGCAAACACCGGCAGCAATCACAGTGGTCATATTCTTAATGACGATGATCGTGGTAACCAAAAATTAGGGTGGATCACGCCACTGCCATCAGTGTATAGTCACATATCGTTACCATTTGTTGTTATTGCCGTTGGCGTTATCGCTTTCGGTCCACCAACTCTATCGCAGACAACGAATCAGGTTGTTTGTAGTAATATTAGGAAGTATTCAACAATAAAATGAGCTTGAATAGAAGACGAAATGAGAACATATCGAGGCCTTGTTTGCTTGGAGTTAAGGGTTGCTGCTACTATCGTTTTCCACGCGGCGAAGGCAGCGGGCAAGTAATGGAAAAATTACTGTGGTTTCCCACATAAACGGTTATTCCGTTTCGGCGCATCTGCGCTAGTTGCTATCCGGATCGATCATGGCTAAGTAACTACGCTGTATATGCGTGTACAGATCAATATGATGATAAATTGACCGGCACGAAGATTGATGCTTACTTCCTCCTATACAGGTTTCTCTCAACTATTGAACAAATAGTGGTACTTGACTGTCTAAGGGCTGCATATGTGTGCATGACCGCCATCGTAACAAACAATAGGGACAGTACATATCCTGCGTAAAAAATGTATTGAAATATGTTTTCAAGACTAGTCAATATTCACGTATATACGATGCAAGCTCCGAGTGCAGTTTTTATCTCGTGTTCGTTTAGTAGATGTTAGTGATGAGTCTTTGATGGACAATCACGTTCGATTCCACACAAAAATGTAGCCTTTTTGTTCAGATCTAATACTGAATATGGAACTTGATTGTGATTTTAATTAGTAACAAAGGAATAATCTTCAAACATACAAACAGCTTGATCTTCATACGCCGAACATCATATAAGGCGTTGGTGCACTACTAGTAGGAAAGTCGACAAAAATCTTTACGGTGTGATAAATATATGCAAGTACAAGATGTGTCAATTTTTTGGACTCATGCAGGTATTTTTCTAGGAGAAAAAATTTCTACAGGTTTATTGAAGCGGGGTAACAGGTGATGCTGTCTTTCATTCAACTAAAATCTGGTCCTAAGACTTAAAAAATATTACTATACACATTAAACGCATACCGTCGTAAGTGCCAGTTCCTATGACGACCATCAGAGCACTCAGCTGCAATATATTTTAGCATCTTTAATAGATAGCGGCTTAACATTGGCGCGGACATTATGGACAAAAGCAGTCAGATACAAGGTTAGCTTTATTTTTCGGTGGAACGTGGAGTATGGTAGAGGGAAACTAGTGGCTTCCCTGGCTTGTTCCCTTCGTGTCTACCAAATTACTCTTTTGAACAGAAAGCTTTCATAAAACCAGTTAAAGCAATTTTTTTTATTTAACCAGACAATACAACAAGCATCCTGATTGATAAAATGGTACTATGTTTTGTCCTTCCGATGTCCTTCAAGGAACTAGGTGACTGCTTGCAAAATGATACAGGCAAACTGTAACAATGCGGTATAGTTGTCTATCTTACTGAATAACATCTAAAGAGTCAATTATTGAGCTATTTTTAAAATAAACCGTCAACGAACAATGTTAGCTCGCGACACAAACATACGGGAAAAGGCAAACGCGGAAATGTTTTGAAGCTTTAAGCCAGTAGTTTTTAATAGCAGGAAAATTTCTTCACATTTAAAAAAAAAAGTACTTTTCATAGCCATAATCGTCGTATACAGAGCTGTTGATGTCAAAATTTTTTACACTAGAAGACGCTGCGTGATACGTGATTTTTTTTGCAATTAATTTTAATATAGTCACACAAAACGGGATATTTTGCAATTGCCAGGAATGATAGATATGATATGTGCAGTAAATGGCCATAAAGTACCAAAAACCTGGGGCGAAAAATGCCAGCGTAAAGCTTACTCATGGCAATCGAGTTCAAGAGAGAGTCAAGGTTTCGATCTTGTAGAAGTGTTTGTATTGCTTTTTCACGACATATGTTGGCCATGGCCATAGGGTACACAGTTGTGCTAGTTTCTTGTCGCAAAAAAATTATCGTTGGTTAGCTCTTTATACTAACAGCGTAACATTGTTTTAATTTTGGTATTACAGCTTCGGATACGTGCGGCGGATTGTCACTGTCTTCAACTGCTACCAATGAGTCGGAACAAAGCTCCCCTTCATTCCAAAGTAAATCGTCGCAGAACTTCAGTCAGAGGAGACTTATCCATGTCGACCTCATGTTCTCTGTAAGTTCAGATCTGAATCTAAAGAGCTAGTTTTTTAAATAAGGTTGACCCCGCCAAAAATAACAATGTTAGCTTAGTGCTAGTTATAAGGCTTTCGAAGTCCGAGCCTAAACAATAGAGCGTAGATATGATTAAGGTTATTTCAGAAAGCGTCTAAGACCTCAAAGAATGCATATACTAAATAGATGTGCTTTATTACAATTAAAAAGAAAGTTTTTTTAGGCATCTACTACATTAAAGGTATTTCTTCCTCTTCAGTCTGTTGTGTATCGGCAAACAGAAGACAAGCAGCTACGTTTGAAAAATTATGCTCTTCTTATTTGCTAATGATTTATGTATGCACAGTTTGAAGAGATCCTTTTTGGAAAATTGAAAGTCAAGATTTGGTGAGTACTTCGAACTAGCGAAACCAAAATTACGTACATACATACATACATAAGTACGCAATACGCTAAAGAACACTGAAATAAAAACACATCAAGAACGTTTGTTGGTGTTGGTATTTCAAAAATATATGTACAGCAGCAGCAGCAGCAGCAGCGGGAACTGCAAGATTGTCATTATTGTTGTAGTAGTAGCAGAGCGTACGTATGGAAATGGCGCATGTCGCTGTAGTCTGTATTTCTGTGTCTTCATCAATTGTCTTCATTATACACCCCCAATTATTCCTGAGGTTATGTACCACCAGAAATTAAGTAGTGTCCCCATCGATTAAGTACATGTGTACAGTTTAATTACTAAGGTTTAATTACTAATGTTGATTGCCTTTTTTGCTGTTAACACACACAAATTAAAAACAAACATGTCATAAACACAATATGCAGTTGATAAAGTCATGTTCCAACACGGCAGTTCGCTTCAAACTACGAGCACGCAATGGTATACATGTAATAGGTGTAAGTAAGACTGTTAACTGTGACAAGGTAGAACTAATTCATGCACTACATTATAAACACTGATGAATACGCGTACCAAATTATACCTTCTACCGTTTACCCCAGCTGCTAATTCCACCATTACTTGTAATACCATTACTACCAATAGTATAATATATTCTAGTAATATATGTCTACAAAATTGTTGTATGATTGAGTAGCATGTACAAAAGGCAGGTAGTTTGCAGAAGTGTGCTAGCAGGCCGAACTATAGGCCAGCAGATCCGATCGTTTCACGTCGTCGTTTTTGACGTGCTAGCAATACTAGAAGCACGGGAGTATTGAACAAGCATTTATATCAAATATTTAAAATCAATTATCAGCTCATATGAGCAGCCCGAACAGGATAGAACGGCAAGTGAGAATCATTGGACCAGGACCTTTTCTCCTCTGTGGCTCCCGTCAGTTCGGAATGGCTCAGGTAGGCAGGTAGTATTTGTTCAGACGGGAGTGATATATTAGCACCTGGGTTATCGGCATTTGGCAGTTTGAGATGTTTAGGTTTTCTGCCGTAGTCGTAGAGACACGAACATAGCTCCCTTGGACAATGTGTATTGATGGCTAGACCCTTGGTCTATAGTATAAAAGTGAATAGAACGGAATATTTGGCTTTTTTTTTGCCAATATACAAGACATCCAAAATACAAGATATATGTATCTATTCTTGCAAAAATTTCTAAAATAGTATGAATATTTTATAAAGTAGTATAATGGATCAATGCGACGAAGAGGGCAATTAGTCGAAAAACATAAAAATACCGTGTGTGCCTCATTCACGGCAAGGGCGTGGCCCCGCTTTAGTAGACTGGTACAACTGATCAACTGGGTCAGATTCCTTCTAGGTCGGCTATGGTTATTTATACTATCCACCAATTGCAGAATCTGAGTTTTTTTTTTCTCGGAAATAGTAGCGCACACGATGGCGAGAAGTTATTATATTATTAAAACAACAATCCAAATGACATAGTCACTTCACAGAGAAAGGCTTCCTAGCAACGCTAGTTCTACTGCTTTGACAGTAATACCAAAATAAAACGCAATTTCCAGACATTGTATAATGAATAAGACACACAAATCTACTGATGAACCTAAATCTGCAAGCATTAGTTTGCTGATAGGTGCAAGAAAAGACGTTTACTTCAAATAAAGACAACCTATTATTCATTGAAACGCTGCGAGCTTATATCATGACAGCCATATCGCTAATACAATCGTACTACTCTTCATGATTAAAGGTTCTAGAAACTTAATTTACTGAGAAACTTTTTTACAGCTTTAGATCATGACATGTGTTGAGATGCACGGAATCAAGACACGCGCCCGTAAACAAACGACTGACCAGGCTGTTTTCGCTATTGCGACAATCTCATACGTAAAAGGGAACTGGTCTGACTGTACACACGTTCGTGCGCGTCATTTCTTCCAAAAACAACGCACGGAAAACGTTACAATAGGTTTTGATCTGAAGTTGGCACATATGATCAGCTCCTTTGGTATGGATAAACGGCTAATTTTCGGTTATCTTGACCTCCTATGTATACGTCTAGGGAAGACGCGTATAATCTGTGGCCAGTAGTCGCACATACACAAAGCCAAAGGCCAAGATAAAAAAATAGTCTCGCCCTGTTTCGCCCTTCAATAGTAATTACCACCATCACTCGATAGGTCATGTGCATATTCTATGCAGTAGGTTGGGCTATAGTATATATATAATGGACGCATAAGCATTAAATATAAATAAGTACATCGTAGTTGAGGCCGTGTTCTTCTGCTCGTTACAATATTGGCATGTACTTAATAATATAAGAACCATTCACTGTTATTGGTTGATAAACTGGACCATGTACATAGATAAACTTGCGCATCGTACATACACAGTGTACTAATATGCATCACTAATGGAAGGAAGTATTTAGAAAAAAGGAAGTAAATCATAAGCGTAGAAATAGGACAAAGCGTAATACTAGGCATTGTCCTTTGGTAGATATGTATATATACAATATATTGATTAGGTGAGGTAAAGACGAGATGATGGTTTCATTAAAAGCTCAGAAGGATGTGAAGTCAGTTGTACCGGGGTCAGCACTTTGAAATAGTGTGAATTTGTGTTATCAACTTAAGTTGCACTAGCATTTAATGGTACTATGTTTTGTATTTTTCGATTCCATTTAATTACTGCACTATACATACGAACATTTTTACTGAGCTCCAGCCTTATAAGAATGTATTTACAGATATTTTTAGCATCGATCCAATCAGGTAGGAAGATCCTTATCATATAATAATCAGTTTAGATACCCTAGCTTTTACAATATGGAAGCCTTAGTAGGCTTCCATATTGTAAAGGCCCAGACAGAACAACAATTTTACGTATAGGATGCAGGAACTAAGTTGAAACTCTCTCTTGTCGCATATGCTGCTACGAAACCGGCATGCGTTCACTGATTAGTCTTGCTGCTATACTGAACCCTATACCGTTAACAGCAACGGCGTCGTTTTCAGCACTTGAGCGAAGATTACCGATGATTTAATCTTTCCTTCAAAATCAAATAAAAAAAACCTCTCTTTTCCCTAAAATTAACGATCTACAATTTTTCCAATTTTCATACGGTCTCTGAAGGCTCGCAACAAGATTTTTTTTATTGAAGCAAATAGAAACATTTTGATCTAAACGGGCGCGAAAAAGAATCAAAATTGCTCGAAAAGTCACCTTTGATGCATATGCCTAGGTTTTCACTACAGAAACTCACAATTTACGCTTTAGACAGGAGACTATTGATTGTCAAGTGAATGTTTCAAACAAGTACGAACGTTGCACTGTCACATTATTTTCTACCTTAAGTTTGTGTCCTGAAATTTCAAATTTTAGGTTCATATGTTTATGCAGTACAATTGTCTTTCTTTGAACGTTAGTATCGATTGCCGACCATCAATATTTCCGTTTCGTCTTCTCGTTTAGGACGATGAACTCGAGGATAGTGAAAGCAATGCATCTTCCTTGACGAAACACCCGTCAATCGAGTTTCTCAGTTCTTCGTCGTCGTCGTCGTCGTCGTCGTCGTCGTCGCAGTCGCCGCAGGATGTTACACCCGTGGCCGAGCATCAGAGTCTACCAGCGAACCTGAAAAGGCGTGCCTCTAGGCTCTCCTGGCAGAAGTCTGCCGTTACTCAACTGAATGGTAATTTCCTATTAGCAGCAGTAATTGTGTATCGATGCATTAAGCATCGTCTAAAGTTGCAAACGAATCATAGAAGAAAGAATACGCGCGTGAGTCAAGTAAGGTCGAAGTATATAATCCGATGGATAGCTTCCAACTATATTAGCCAAACGGCTCGATCTCAATAGCAACTATAGACGTTTGACGTTGACTAGTGAACCTGTTTTCATGCTACTGTTGTTGTTGTTGTTTGACTTTTCGAACCAGACCCCTCAGTGGCAGCGGCGGCTCGAACACGGAAGTTATGGCGGCGACATTCGATAGACGTTTGTGACGCGGAACATCAGGAGAAATTGGTCAAAAATGACCCTTTTCGGAGGTCGATTCGCGTACGGCAGGAGATACGGATCGATGATTCTTCAGGCACCAATGGAAGTGCTGACCCCAAAGATTCCGGAGCGAGCAAGATCGCCATTGTAAATAAAGTAAGCTGAAAAACATGGAAAAAAGATTGCGCTTCGTGAAACCTGACTGTCAACTTCGTTCAGTGTTTATTTTTCTGTTCGAAGTGGCGCCTTAGTTAGGCAAAATATTGTATCTTACAATGAATGGATAACGGTAAATTCTGTTCTATTCATTTGAAGACGTATTGCGTAAATCGGAAGCAATGCTCACGAAACTCACATGACCTTTACAGCAGTTGGAGTGCCTTTCATTAACACTTGAGGAGGTAGCACATATACGGTCAGTGATGACAAAGGCTGAGTTAGAAACCCTCCTTGTTGCCCCGCAGCTCTACGAGGACGTCGCAAGGAGCAAGGTGTGTTTCACCTGTAGAAAGAACCGTTTCAACGTTCTTTTTAGCAGGCCCGTCAAATGCCATCTTTGCGAGCGCTCAGTTTGCGACAAGTGCTCGACAAAAATGCACATCCCTACGCACAGGTGACTATACCAACAGGCACAAAACAACGCGGCGTCAAAGAAACAGCTGTTATTTCCGAACGTTATATCTATAGTGGGACCTGCTTACTACAGCAGGACCTCTATTCAACAGGAGCTCTATTCGTACATATTTTTTCGTTCTCTCACTTAATTTTTATATGAGGAAATCTAATTTGAGTAGATGCTAAGTACGATTTGTTTGTGACTTGTCCAGATTTGATCGGATTCCGGTATATATGCTTTCCCCAAGCACGCCTACTGAAGAGATAGCTGTGGAAGCTCCCAGTCGCGATAAGAAGGCCAGCAGTAAGAAGAAGGACGAAATTGAAACTGCAGTGCAGACGTTTACCAGGTGAATTCTAAAGGGAGAAAGAAATAAGAATTACTCGCTTGCCAAGCTTTTTGGACTCATGAGGCGCTTATTTATGCGTCAGCTGCTATCAAGATCATATCATTGCAGTAATGTAGCTTTTCATAAACGAATATTTTACGTTATGTTTCGTCCATCTACGATTAACCTATTTCCGTCACATGGCTTGTTTCCTCCTATTGGCTTTCCAGTGGATCTGCGCCGTCATCGCCAAATATAAATTCGCGAGCAAGCGGTGCTATTGCAGTACATCGAGACGATGCTGTGGATTCTCCTTCAGTCGCCAGCTCGTTGGAAAAGCATCAGCAACAAATCGAAGTGGCCATCATGTCCGGCCAGGACGTCACCGATGATGTCACTGAAAATGATCGAAAGAAAAAATCATGGCAAGATTCAATTTCAAAGAGTCTGCTGAAGCGACCCTCGATTTTGCGGGTTCGAGCCAAGCTTCGTTGTTCGCCAAAAGCAGCCAACCACGAAGAGACCAAAAGCGAACTATGCGAAAAGCTTAAGGCGCCAGTACTGCCTGTATGTCGCGACTGCAAATATCTTGTGCGTTCGATTATACTGTCGAATCGGAACCCGATCGTGAAGAGTCATAGTGATAACTCGAACTGAGGCTCGTTCCGCATCGCGGGTATCGAAACACGCTGCAGACGCTGAGCTCGTCGATGTTCTTAAAGGTGAAGAACGAGAAGATGTGGAGAAACAACTATGGAATCAGTGAGGACCCTGAATCCATCTGATGCCTCCCGTTTGGTGGTACATCAAGCAAGCACAACAGCATATATAGACATTAGCCAGCTAACGATAGTAGTCTAGCAGAGAGAAATTGTATCGATCCCTTGTGTTATTTCGTTCAAGCGTTAAAAATATTTTGACAATAAACAGTATGTGTATATATACGATTTACGATAGTCGCCAATTCTTCCCCATTTCCCTTAAAGGACCGTAAATAGACATCAAGTGTTAACACGCTTGTATATATAATATATACTGACACGACATTGGCCTCCCGCTTTTCGAAGCTTGGACAAGGAACCGTCCATAAGCGTTATTTGTCGACCTGTTCGGTGCTTTAAAGGGTTCAGGAGGCTACGCGCGCGACTGTGCGCGTATCTGCGAGATCCAGCGACGTGTAATACGCCCACTTCGAATCGACCCAAGTCGATCGGTAAACGTGAGCGAAGACGTACAGTTGACCATAGAATGTTTGTGGTTGAGGCGATTTATTATCTTAAGTATTTGTGAAAAGGATATATCGGTGATGAAATCGAATAGAGAGATACTGTGACAGATGCGATCTATAAACGATAAGGCTTCCAATATAGCTGTACTTAAGTAGACAATGGAGGGCTGTTCGTCGATACGTGTCACACGCGACAATACCATGTGATTGTTCTTATAATTAGTGGAGCAAGCAGTGACCCTCTTGCTTAGAATTTCGTTGAGTCTATGTCTGTTGCAATATCATATGTATGTATATATGATATTACAACATTGGATAGATTGTTACAAAATAAAACGGGTTTATATTTGTGCCGTAATGACAAACGTGTGAACGAACGTACAAAAAAGTTTGCTAGAAAATATTCCGCCTGTTACACCGGAGTGGTCACTTAATACGCCTGACGTCGATAGGGAACGTACCTATATAGACTGGATTGTAAGACAGTGGGACTATTGAGTGTGGGCAAGGAATTGAATGCGGTGTGATTGGTTCAGAAAAGGCCATAGAGCGTTGCAACTTCCATATCCACCCTTTATCTCGTAAGTTATTTTTAAGGGCGCGACGAGAATTGCATGACAGCAAGATAAAAAAAGCAAGCCTGATATACGTTTCTTAGAGTATCAATTCATCTGCCTAATATTGTTTCACACATAATCTGTAATAGTATGAAAGTGTTTATCAAAGACTGTATACAATGATGGACGATTGTCAATAGACACAGTATGTGAAAAGTTTTTTTGTGTTAATCTTTGAATTTTCGACGAATAATCAGTTACCATAAGACGGTGTTTTGAAAAACTTCTTTCGCATTTAACCGTTTTATTTGTGTAATGGAAAAGGGTGGATCTAGCAAAAAAAAAAACAGCCGTTTCATAAGTGAACAAGTTGAATATATTGGTATCTATGACCTGAAGGACTGTACAACGGACTATAATTCCATGACAAGTGCTTATAGTTCAAAGAACGAAGCAGATAAAATAAACATCTATATATGAGTACGCTTTGAGGCTGTCCGTTAGTAGTTTGCATGATGATAAGGAATGGTATTTTGTGGGACTGGCCGCAACTGCATAGGTGGCCCGGACGCTGTCGACCCCAGCGTCCTGATTCGTCGTTCAGGCAATACCCAACAAAAGCAGGTCTAGCGTGCAAATCTATCTAACGTTCAGGTCAAAAAGGGGGCAACGTTAAATGATCAGAATGCTGATAAGCTGAATAAGGGAATTCGAGCGTATAGTGCGTGGAACGAATAGATGTGATGTATGCAGGAGGAAGGAAGAAAGCAACTGGAAAACCTTTGTATCTATAGACTATAGCAAATATGTGCGTGTGTATATGGGATGGACTTGTCAATGAGGCCCTGCTATTCATGTTTTGCCTTACGTTGAAGACGACCGCTATATCATTATATACCTGCCCCAGATACGACAACACGGCAATGGGCAATCCGTAGTGATGAATAGCAATGAGCAGTGATAGTGCAACAAGTACACAAAGTAGATAATGACAGCGTGCGATCTACATAGAATGACGGTATGATTCAGCGAGTGATCAATGTATGTTTGATTGTTGGAACCACATAATTGTATTGTATAACAAGAAAAAAGACGATGAATATTATGATGATACTGATGAGGCCTACTATGATCAAGTAACAATGATGACAGCGGTGATGGTCAGATTTGGGGGACAAGTGTATCTATTTTTATTAATATTATTATTAATATTATTAAATTCCTTTTTAAGCCTTCTACGATTGCACAATTTATTAAATGCCCATACATTGCCCCCTACTATTCCCCCAACCATCGCCCATTTTTCTGATTGTATGTGCATGCATGAATGTTGCAGAGCAAGCGAGAGAAGATCAACTATAAATATGAAAAAATCAACAACAAAGAAACAACAGCCACAACATGGTAGATAAGATAAAAACACTGTGAACAGATATATGTGACCACAATAAGTTTGCGCAGGACCAAAATAATTGACCGGTATTAGAGCATATTCGGTTGAACGTAGCACCATTACCTTTGTGCTTCTATTTAGTTGACCGTGTATGAGCAGGGCTGAAAAAAACTAACTAATTAATAAACTATCGCCACTAAGAATATAACATGCTATAAATTGCAGCGAACCTGATATCGTATACTGCTGAGTGGCGGATAAACAAAAACAGGAAAATGCCGCATGGCTCTGATTGAAAGTACTTTATTTCTGCTGCTTACCTGAGCTAAGAACAATACAAACCAATATATTTTATGTTATTATTATTATTATTATTATTATGTATTTCACTTACCACTAGCCAAGACTTGCCGTCTAAACACAGTATATAAATATACATATATATAAACGAAGTATACATTGTATATGTATCAATACCGTCTACTTCAATACCGAAACAACTGCTTTTTCTAGCCAAGAAGACAAGATTGTTGACAAGTTGTCAACTTAACGACATACAGAAAAACTTCATTCGAATATCCCAGCCATCCTGACGCTTGCGGAAAGAAAGGTCACATAATAATAAAAATATCTTAACTCAGAAAAATGCTATCGTTGTTCTTCTTTCTTTTTTTTTTTTTTGTTTTCTTATTGCTATTGAAGGCGGAAGTTTCAAACCGGACAGACTAGAAAAATAACTTGTCAGAGCCTGCTTACATCGCACATCTGAAAAGCCTTAAAGCTTTGATGGCCCTTACGAATATCCCTTATATTATATATAATATTATATATCCTATATATTAAAAGAAAGAGTATCTAGAGTGGGAAAAAACCAGTTCCAGCTTTTCTTAAAAAAAGTTGTCAAATTTAATAAGTGAAAAGAACTTTACTAGGCAAATCTTTCGCAGACAACAATGCGTGTTGTTCGTTGATAGTCCATACATATATATCCTTACTCTATTTTGAAGATCATTAGTATGTCTTATTTGATATTAATAGATATACAAAAAAAAAACTATTTTCGTTTGCGCTCATTTAGTTTTTCTTTCTAAGTTCCTAGGTATTTTTTCAAGGATCATCTCCACTCGGCTTGCAAGCACCACAAGTTACATATCTATCGCAGATACCATCTACAAATGCTTATTAGTTGGCGTTCATGAGAACAGTCTGTTAGCCTTAGAAAAATGTTTGCCTCAGGAACATGGTTTTTGATATGTTTCTGACCGATTCCGTTTCAATTCCTGAGGGTCTGACTTGTTCGTTGGCCTAAATATGATAATGAGAAACCGCTATCTTTGGCGACACAAACACGGCTGAAAGAAATAGAAGGTCGAGCTGTAACATTTGGGCGTAACAACGGCGTACGTATGGTTCGACAGTTACAGTTTCCCTTCAAGGAATAGTAAAAGACAGAGAGAGAAGTCATCCTCTAATACACTTGGCTGACTTCCGAGTTGATCTCGTATATTTGGATCGCAGGATTTGCTCAAGTAATTGTTAACCATTATGGAAGGAATATCGCGAGAAATTTCTATCATTATATGACAAAGGTAACGATTTTTGCCAGTTTTTAGTGTGACGGACGACGGGTGTAAACGAATGAACATCTGGTAACTGATCCTTCGCTATGAAAATCGTGTAGTGTGATTGCCCTCAAGAATTGTTCCTATCGTTTTTATGTGATATTATATACGATGCAGTTTTGGTATACAACGTCTTACGAGGCTAACTCAGTGCTTAATCGTTATCTCGAAAATTTCGAAATTAATTAGGTTAGTTAAAAGTCTGTATACTGTCGCATACAGGTCGACGCGTTACAGGATAGTTGGCCTTCAATTCGACTGAGGTCAGCTGCTTCTTTATGGCTGGCAACTTTTAAACGTCTCAGTCAACGAAATGTCGTAACGATAAACTTGTTTCATTCAACGTGTGACCAGCCTCACATCTCGTACCGTGCCTTTGTTCAATAGTCTCATGCCTATCTGTTTCTCGAGATCTATGTATATCTCGAGATTACATACGATGATCAAATCGTACGATTCGTACTAAATATGATACTTGAATGAAATCCTTATTGGTTTTGACACGCGACGAATAGTCACACCGCGTATTTTATCATAACGTATCGGTGACACTCCGATTTGGTTGCGTGGGAATAAAACGTGGAATCACGTTTGTCCCTGTTACTGTTCAAATTAATATCCTTTTTCTTCGTTTTCCTTTAGCTAGATCGTATGGTTTCTGGCTGAACTGATGATTGTCTGCGGTTTTTAGGCTGGTCGACGCTACATCATCCAATCGATAACATCATAGGACCACAAAAAAGAATAAATGTGCGTTTAAAAATTGTGTCCTATTGGTGCATGATTGGTCAATTCAATGTAGCTTATAACTGTATCCAGATTACATAATGTCAAATCTACTGAAGTGCGTTCGATAAGCGAAGGCGTCAACGAGTCACCTGTTCCACAATTCTCTTCTCGCCATTGGACTCTACTAATATTTTTATATAATGTGTCCCTCTTGCCTCAAAGCCACCTAGCAGATAATAACTATGTGAATTTTATAAATTTCAAAACATTAACAGAAAGTAACACTTGTCTCCTACTCCCATCTGTCAGTGTTTATTAAAAATATCCTCATCAGCGCGGTGGTTCGGACGACGAAACTTCTGGATGACCATGGCGCTAATGGCGCCCAAGTAGCGTCAATGACATACTGCAAGATCGGTGTGATTAAGCATACAATTTTTCATTACCTTATTTTATTTATAGTTATATAGTTACCACAAGCTACCATTATAGAAGGAAACTATAGACTACGCGTCTGTGGTTCAACATGACGCGAACCAGTCGCGGATCCGTAATACTAGTGATGGTAGCAGGTCACATTACCTAGCTAAGCTTGGTTTAAAATAGCAACCCTATCTTTCGCTTACATGACGGATATTGCAAGCGGTATAAAGTAATGAATTTTAAAAAGTGTTACAGTAACAAGATGCTCCTGCAATCAAGCGTGGTCATATTCACTTGCACTATATAATGTCCCACTAGCAATGTTAAGAACCAGTGGATTATCTCGGAGAGCAGTATTATAGCACAAAGCTGCGAGAGGCCTGACTGAGCCTAACAATAAAAGGACAATAGTAAGAATATTCATTTGAAATTTAGAGAACAAACTGAACAGTGACGTAGTCTGATTTTTGACCTTTATTGCCACACATACGATACGTAACTCTAAAAAAATCAATACCCAGAAGTTTCTAACAATACCTTTATGAATCGGCACAATAATCAGCAATAACAACAGCGGGATTCGTAAAAACGGAGTTCAACCATAACCATATTTGCAAATGTACACATATTTTATTAATGTCACGAAACGGTTTAACAGTTTATACTTAAAAACAGTACCAGATGGTAATCTCAAAGTATTCAAGTTTACAGAATAAGCAAGAATTTCGACTGTTCCCAAGCAGCTGTGAACTTATTTACGTTCAATTTCAGCTTTTTTGCGTATCGTAACCACCAGCAATGGCAGACACACTTGTGCCGAATCCGGCCAACGGGTAGGTGGTACGCTTTTAGACATGGAGTCTATCTTTGACAATCAGTTAGAACGAGACACAGCTACAAAGTAATTCATGTAATGCCGCTACGAAAAGAAGACACAAAATTTGTACAAACAAACGCTAAGTAAAAAAGTAGGGTTACGCTAACCCTTGACTGTTCCTCACATTAAACGAAATCGACATGATGAAGTGGATGATCGAATGTATTTAGATACTTGTAAGAGTAGCCTTAACACTGAATCGCATTGTACATTGCAGCCGCTCAACAGACTAAACATCAGTTAGATGTCCTGGTTTGCTTTGTGAGCCATCAAGAAGGAACTTAAGCCCTATCTCCTTAATTGAAAAGCCTGCTGTTTGCAATCTTGAAAAGTTTGAAGACAATGATCAATGTTACATTTGGTGAGTATAGATAAAAACGCTAATAACAATTCGTGGCTGCCTCTTATAGGCGGTGGAAGACATCCTGTAACCTGCCCGTGCCCGCGTTTTCACAACGGATCTGTTGAAATAACAAAGTGATACGTAAACAAAAACGAAGGCAACGCCAAATCAAGGGGTTCGCTGTCCTTCTTTTTGAGACGATGTCCTCGTTATCGTCCAAGCTAGACAAGCATGCTGATTCGTTGCAGTGCCCTACAATAAGTGACGTATTTGTGACAAAGGTGTGTGCAACAGGAGATTCTAATGGTACATACTCATGTCATATCCTTGCTCACCAGATTACACACAGCCTGTAAGTTGTTTGTCGACGGAGAGAAACGAAAGTGTACAAAAATATAATGACCAAAAATACACCTGATAACAATTCAAAATAAAAAAGTGTACCTTGACATATGTGCCTAATGATATAGAGCCCGTTCAGCTATGTGGCAGGTGTCTGGCAGAAAAATAAGTCCAATATAGACAGCAAGAACAAAGCAATCCTACGAGGGAATATTTTTTATTTCGACGGCAAGCGCCATAGTAACGATTGGATTTCTTTCTCGTCACTAGACCTTAAATCGAGAAAATGCTACGAAAACTTTAAATTTAATAGAAATATTCGTTAAGAATATCTGAAAAAGATAATGATCATTTCTGGGAAAAATGTCTGCTGATGAGTGAATTCTAGCGGGTAACTACCTCGTCATCTTGGAACGGTGTGGGGTGGCGAGCCTATTACTTTAACGAGACACTGTCCTGTGCAGTGGCGCAGCCTTCACGCGAGAAATTTGAAGTAGATTCTTCTTCAACGCAGACTTTTCACGACAAGCATTTTTTTGGCGTCTTGCGGTACCAGACCTTACGTTGGATACGTGAATGGTAATCCTGTAAAATAGTCGCAAACCAACTACCTCATTTGAATATAATGCTTTGATTGTAAACGGGGCAATATAAGCGGCGGCAGGTCTAGTAGATTCCTTAAGAAGTTATGCTAGAATACTTTATCTTTTTGGTGTTCGTACGTCACCCGTATCCCCAAGACTGGGTATCAGCTCGCAGCTATGACTCGCATCATATCAGCCAACGAAAAACATAACAGTCTCCTTTAGTAGTACGCCGGCGACCTTTGCAGCATCTTGAAAGAAAGTAACTTATTATGACTGAATAGGGCATTTCCTTGATACGTGATAACAACATAGCGTAGTCAGTATGCTTTTACAAAAAGTCGTTGAGCGGGAATACTGACAACCGAAACTCCATATAATACCCTGTCGAACTTGACGAATCTTCTGCGAACTAGTTTTGTTATCATGGCGAAAAAAAAAAAGCTAGGCTTTTACCACGATTAATTGATCAGTTAGGCTTTAAAGGGTTTGTTTTTGGTAAACGCTGTTACGAGAAATTTCTGAAAGCAACCTGCTGGAGTCTGACTATTTTATTACAGTTCAGGTTGGTCTTAACTTCGAAATGCTTATGTCCTCGTTACCATAACCTTTTTTAGGACGTGCCCACCATTTTACCGCTTTGTTACCCTGCAGTCAAAAAAAATAGTGTTAAAGAAGATTTGAAATAGTTTTGCGCCCACAGTCATGACAACAATT